TTTTTTCATGTTGTGTAAACAAGTTGATAACTCGAATTAAACCCTACAAAAATTTTAAAAGACAACAGATTTTTTGCTTAATCAAATTGAAGTGTGGAACTTGCAGAATTCTTTGATCCTGAAGAAATGATTCTTAGAAGGAGAGTCAAAACACATTCCAAAGAGTCAAAACACATTCCAAAACTTTTCTACACACATGTGCTCCAAAAGAATGGTTATATCAATGTTAATAAACTTGTTCGAGTGACATGTGGTTGATTTGTTCTCAAGTCTCTAGCAACTACAACTTCTGAGTATATGGTGCACAAATTTGGAATCTGATGATTCAAGAATCTGGATTAATTGATATTTTCATTAAGGAAAGTTAATACACGTTTTACTTTTTTTTCCTTACGAGGTTTTATCCTACTGAACTTTCCTTCTATGCTTTTTAATTAATAAGGTAGCCTAAATACGTATTATTAGATACATTTCCTATTTTCCTTCACTAGAGTTTTTACTTTTTTAAAATTCTTTTGTAGGGTGTTAACGAGGCGTGTCTTTTACAGATAAATATTAAAATTCTATCTATAAGACCAAGTCAATTTTTCCCTATAATATAATCATTCTTCGAGAGAAATACACATTGGACATATCGTTGAACATGTCATGTTCCGTTTGATTTGTGCATGATGTGTGTCCTTTTACCTTTTTTTTGGAAAGTGTTAAGCGGATAAGCTTGTGGAAGGTTTATTTTCGCTATGGTTTTAATCTATCAATAATTCGATATACTTATATGCTTAATTCGTGTTTATTGTTACTTCTAGCTTGCAATTTGCTAGCAAATAATTAACAAGCAAAGAAAATATCGTAAAATTTATCCGTATCGAGTGTTTACATTAAGTATGTACATATATTTAAATTTTTTATTCATTTTATTTATTAAATCACATATTAATAAAAATTGCATTAACTTAAATATTGAATACGGATAAAAAAATTTCCCTTTTATTAGATAAAAAGTGACTGATTATGAAAGAAAAGAAACTGCACAAGTAAAAACTTCTGTGAATTGAAAATAGAGAGAAATGAAATTCCTAAAATTATTCTCCCATTCGTTGAATTGGTTTGCAAAGTTTTAGACTTTTTGAAAGATCGCTAAATGAGATAATATTTCGTATGGTCATTTAACTTTGTATACTTTATTTAAAAAGTCATTCAATTTTATTTATAACACTAAAGTCACTCAGTTATTAGAGTTTTACTTAGAAAGTCACTCAATTTCACTTAGAACAAATTAAAATAATTTATTTAGTTAAAATTTAACGTTTATTTAAAATTATTTTCTAAGAATTTATAAGATATTTATTTTTATTTTCTTATTTATTGACCTTCTTTAATTATTAAATTACAATTTTTTTAAAAAACGAACAGTAATATTTTTTTAACACGTTAAATTTCTAATTTCTAGTAAATTAATTGCGAGAATAAAAAAGCATTTTTTTCTCTTAATTGCTACTACTGTACATTAAAAGTAACAATCATTTATTATTTCTTATTAAATTATAAGCAATGCTTCTATAAATTTTATTTTTTAATTTGTCAATTGCACTATGCACAGTATCAATCTTTTATTATTTTTTAAAAATATATATATTTCAATTAATTAAATTTTAATAAATAGTTAAATTGCACATCTTTTTTTTAAAATTAGTTTAAAATGAAATTACATTTCAGCAAAACTTAATAAAGAAATTATTTAAATTAGGGAAAAGGGTATGCTTCGAAACTATTCGAAAAGGTCTAGATATCCTCCGTTTAAAGTTTGGTTTATTCATGCCCTCGTCATTCAACTTTTGGTCCAAATATGTCCTTATGGGCTTTAGTTGTCATGTTAGACATATCCAACACATTTTTCATTTCTGTAAATGCCACATGGAATTGACATGTAATTTTGTCCTTACCACATGACATTTATATGAAAATGAAAAGATATTCAGACTCATAAACACCTACTCCGACTCATAAATCAACCACCTTTTAAATAAATTATCCGCTCAATTTTCAACAATTTTGTTTAATTTTTTTATATATAAACTCCGAAACTAAGTAATTGACAAATAATTATATCAACCTTAAATTCAATTTAAAAACTTTTTTTAAAAAAATTATTTTTTCGATAAATCCCGAAATGAGTAAATCTGATAAATAAAAAATATGAAAAAAAATATAAAATTAATCTCAAAAATTAAAAAATAAATACAGTAACTTTAAATTCAACATTTTTTTAATTTTTAATTTTTTCGGCAAATCCCAAAAATGAGTTTATTAACAAAAAATATGAAAAAAAAAATATTTTAAAAAAATACGCAAACAATTCACAAATAAAAATAGAAAAATATGAAAAAAAAATATAAAGTAAAAAAATTGTTGAAATTATTGAATTAAAGGTTACTATATTTATTTGTGAATTTTGACGTAAACTTTTTATTTTGTTTTCATATTTTTCTCTTTTTATTAATAAATTGCTCATTTTCAAGATTTGCCAAAAAATATAAAAATAAAATGTAGAATGAAATGTTACTATATTCATTTGTGATCGTTTGGCGTTAAGTTATATTTTTTTCATATTTTTTATTAATCAACTGCTCATTTTTGAGATTTATAAAAAAAATAAAAAATTTAAAAAAATATTGAAATGTTAAATTTAAGGTTATTAGGCTTTAGTCATCGATAGACCCTTAAAGTTGTCCGCATAATTCACTTAAACACCTCAACTGGGGTTTGTACCTATTGAACACTTCGACTCTTCTGAATTTGAACCATTTAAACACTTTGTGCATACGTGGCACAAAAAGTGTATTCTACACGTTTTTAGGCGCGTGAATCATTTAATCAGTGCCTTTTTAATTTTCTTTTCTCCTGTATTTTTTAAAAAAATAAAAAGAACAATTCTTCTTTTTCTTTCTTCTTTCTCCTTTCTCTCTTAAAATTGCAAATCGCTGCCATCAATTATTCATAACAATAAAATCTACCATCTTACATTTTTTTTTTATAGATTTACTTCTTCTGAATTTATGCTTAAATTTAATAAGAAATGTGAATCCTTATTTCCTTTGTTATAAAAAATGAAAGAATATAATCTAAATTTTCTTGCCGGAAAAAATGGAGATCACCATTTTTATTTTACCGGAAAATATGGAGGCCACCGGAAAATATAAAGGCCACACACACAGCCTCAGGTTCACACCCATTCTTTCTTCATTACAAAACAAGAACAAAAATTAAATTTAAATCAAAACAAAAAGACACTGAACATATTCTTTTTTTATAAGAAAATATACTATCAATTGTGAAATAGGAACAAAAAAGAAAACATAAAGAGAAGTAAAGAAAAAAAGAAGAAGATAAATTCATACTTAGTATATATTAAAATCTCCATTTGGAAAATAACAATGATGAAAAAGAGGTGATTTTAGTGAGAGAAGAAAAGGAAAGATTTGAGGTGGTGAGGGTGCTGGTGGGTGTGAGGGTGATAACATGATTTTTATTTTATTTTTTAAAAAGTTGAAATTCTTATTTTTTTTATTTAGATTCTTTTATTTTCAAAATTCATTTATAGAATTATTTTAAATATAAATACCACGTGTCTTCATTTGATTTGTTATTTTGCCACATCAGTTGCATGTGCATTACACGCGCTTTCTCTTTTGACCAGGTCTTATAAAAATGTTTGATAGGTACTTATTTTTTAAGGTTTGAGTGTCTAATAGAAAAATGGGCATGTTAAGGTGTCTAAGTGAATTTTGCGGACAATTTCAAGGGGCCGCAGATGACTTAAGCCTAAATATATTTGTGAAATTTTGACTTTAATTTTATATTTTTTTCATATTTTTTATTAATCAATTACTTTTTCGGGATTTACCGAAAAATAAAAATTAAACAAAATTGTTAAAAATGGGACGGATGGTGATTTAAAAGGAGTTCATTCATGGGTCGGATTAGGTGTTTATGAGTCTGAATATCTTTGCATTTTCATGTAAATATCATGTGATAAGGTCAAAATGACATGACAATTTCATATGACATTTGCAGAAATGAAAAATGAGTTGGATGTCCAACATGGCAAGTAACGCCCATAAGGACATATTTGGACCAAAAGTTGGATGGCGAGGACATGAATGAACCAAACTTTAAATGGAGGGTATATCTAGTACACCTTTTCAAATAATTTAGAGGCATATTTGACCTTATTCCCTTTAAATTAATTAGATGACTTTTTAAGTAAAATATGATTAGTTGAGTGATTTTCTAAGTGGAATATTAATAATTGAACTTTTAAGTGGTAAAACAAAGTTGAGTGACTTTTTAAGTAAAAATACTCAAAGTTGAGTGATTTTCTAAGTAAACTAGTCAAAATTGAGTGATCATTTGAGATATTAACTCGCTAAATAGGAGAATCGAACTAAGTTTGAAACCTATTTCCTCGTGTTCGAACCTATATTGGATCTCTAATTAAATTTGAGTTCGCTCTGCAGAGTTCATTTGAATGACGTTTTTAATATAAATTTTTTATACTTAAGGCTCGAGTCAAAATCTTTGATTAAGAATGAAACACTTTCACCAGTGCATCACACAACACAGCTCGAATGGAGACATCTTTCACCAATGCATCACATAGCACGGCTCAAATCGAGATATCTGATTAAGGACGAAAAACTCCAACCAAGATATCTCAAACCCATGTCGGTGAAACAACAAGACTAAAATGGAGGCCATCAATTTTTCAATTGATTGAAGCAAGCTTCTGGTCTAAACTATTTAATTTTAAAAAATTTGTAACATGATAAAAACTTGATTTTTTTGAGAATATTATGGATAAATATAAATATATCAAAGTTTAGTAAGAACAAAACTTAATTCTATACGTATGCAGATGATGACATCAAGATATTCTAGGTGTGCATCGACAAGGAGTTCTACTCTGATGTAAAACAGAGCTATGAAAGAAAAAAGAGAGATTATATCAAAATCCATAAATTATATATATCAAACACCAAAATTTACATCATACATGACAATAATCATGGCTAGACGAAGAATAAATGAAATTTTCAATCTCGGAAATTCAGTAAAATCAAAAATCAACAGGGAATAATATTTTCAAAACAGTGAACGCCGTCGAATTCCAGCGCGAACCTCTGCCTCTTCTGCTGCTGCTGCTGCCGCGAAGACGGCGGCGGTGATGCCTCTCCGGCCTTCTTCAGAACACCAGTTGAAGAAGTAGCGGCGGTCTTTTGATCTGATACAATAGTTCCAACCCCTTGTTGTTCTGAAGAAGGCTTAGAAAAACTCAATTTCTGCCCAAAAAGTTCAGCAGAAAGCGCATCAAAGGAACTGAAAATTGACATCATCATCGTTTCTTCTAACTTGCAAATAACAAGAAAATTAAGAAAGTATTGCTTTGTTGGATATGAGAAGTGTGTTTATGTTGAATTAAATTAAAACTCGAGTTGTAAGAAGAGAAGTTGCAGAAGCAGAGTATATATAGGGGAAGTGGATTAAAGAATGATCTGGAAAGTAAAACGAAATTTCGAATACTGTTTCTCTAATTCGTTGAACTGGGTCAGCGAATCGACTTAACGCGTGTCAATTGGGTCTACATTTATATTTTTTATTTTCAAACGACCTAATATAGAACTTCTGGATTTAACTGGAAATTACCTAATTCCAATAACAATCACAATTTTAGAAATTAATTAAAATTAAATTTTACATCATTTTAAAATACTTAATATTATTTAAAACTTGTGTATTCAAAATCACATCATGATTTAGAAGTTTTGAATCTCAAATTTTAGGTGATACACAGAGAAGGATGTATTATTTTTTTTTAGTAGGACATTAGCTGTGGCGTAGCCACATACGAGGACGTTCAATTAGACACCCTTCGTCAGAAAAAATTAACATATATATAAATAAAATAATATATAAAGTGATTAAATATTTTATTTTGAAATACCTTTAATATAATAAATTACTATTTCTGGACGCCCTTTAAAAATTTTAACTTCGAAATGAAATGAAGAGTTGTGGATAAGCTCAAAGACCATTTCTATATTGGTGGGAGTTTGGGAGTGACGTGATCAATGAAGTTGAGTTTGGAACTTGTTTAACTTTGAAAAAAAAACTATTTCAAAAATATGATTTTAAAAGTAATATGTTTTTAAAATATAATATTCAATTTTTAAGAGATATTTATTTAAATAATATCATCCCTTAAAAATGATATATGGACTTTTATGGGTTCTTGTAGTCAAAGTTATTGAATTGAAACAGCCATGATTGACGTTGCTGTGTGTTAGCAAGTTGTGAATGGAGGAATCTTCTTCGACCGTGATTATTCAATATCTAGACATAGGAATTTTTGACAAGGCGTATAAAAATTGTATTATTGAAAAAGAAATAGTCACAAATAATAATATTGAAACTAATTATGCTTAAATCAATTTTTATACATTATTTAATTTTATGTATTAAAAATAACCTCCACATTTTTCTTTAGTTGTATACACTTTCGAAGCAATCACGTTTTGAAAAATTGTACTAAATAATGGATTAATGATACTAAAATTTAATACGTGCTTAAATACCTTCCGTGAAACACCTCCTAATTAATACAGAAATAATATAAATAATGTATGTGTTAGTTTCAAACCAGGATAAAATGTAACGTACGGGTAATTTGTAATACCCAAGAGTGCATATAAGGCAAGCAATCATGAAAGTGAATTTACGAAAGTGATATATATATATATATATATTTTTAGATGAGCTAAGGGTAGTTATGATATTATTCCAAATGGTATATAGCTCTCATATGGTGTTAGCAATAAATCCTACGATGAATAGCAGTATCGATGCACCTTAATTGTAAATATTCGTTAATTTGGTTCAATCTCGCTAGCACATGTAACAAAGAGAAAATCACCTAGCATTTTGTAGTTACTGAGATTTCAATCTTGACCTTCCATAGTTTGTTTTCATGGAAATGTGACATTTAGTCTTTGTGTAACAAACTCAAACACTATATAGCAAAGAGTAATATTTAGAGATCAAATTTAGATTCTAATTAACACATTCCATCATGAATATTAATAAGAATTATAGCAACACAATAATGAGAAATTAGCAAACAATCCAGACCTCCCTAATATGTTGCAAATTAAAATAGAAACTCCTAATCAAACAAGCTCAATCCCAAATCCTCGTCACTGTCCTCCTTCATCTCCTCCTGCAACCACACAATCAAGTAAATACGAGACAGAGAGAATAATAAAAACTATTTAATACGTAATATAACATTTATGATAAATTTATTACCTTTTTCTCCTCAGCTGCGGGAGCGGCAGCACCACCACCACCTCCACCAACGGGGGCAGCAGCAACAGCCACTGCTGGACCGCCACCCGTCCCAACGGTCAAAATGAGATCTTCAATATCCCTCTTCTCAAATAGCTTGGCGAAAAGACTAGGCCAATAAGACTCCACTGAAATATTAGCTGCCTTCACCACCGTAGCAATCTTCTCTGCCTGAAATTACAATTAAACATTATGTTAATTGAAACATTATCATAAAATTAAAATGGATTAGCGGGTAAAATGAAAGATGATTATTTACAGTAATGGGAATTCCATCATCAAAGAGAAGCAAAGCAGCATAGGTACAACCAAGTTCCCCAACTGACATATTTGCACAATTGATGAAGTTATTAATTAAGAATAATAAAAAAGAGATTAGAACAAAAATCAATTTTGATTATAAAAAATAAGTTAGTATTTAGAGGACCGTAAAACTAATAGATACGAACTATTAGGGTGGAGGAGTACGTTACGGATTTCAGGTGCTACGGGTCTAACGGCTTTACACACGAATAGCTACATTTTAAACATAGTGTTACCCTTTTTTTTTTACTATCTTCCATATTTATTTATTTGTTTGGTTACCCAACTTGTGGAAGTGTAGTGTCAAATTTAGTTGGATTATATTTGTATCCTTAGTTGAGAATATCAAGTGTTGATCATTTGTAAACTTTAGATCTAGCAAAGGCGATGTAACTATTTTCCACCTAGTAGTAAAGCAAATGCTCATTCACAAAAATGCAATCAATTAGTAGAATTAACGTATAAAACATTATTCCTAGTAATGATTTATTTACTACTTCGATGAACTGAATTAAATATTAGCTTAATTCAGTCGGAAATACTAACTTTGGATGAATTCAAGTTCCAAAAGATTTTTTACGAAATTGCCTCTTAAGCTGATTACGGTTCATAAAATTTGAAACATGAAAGGTACTTTGAACAAAACCCTAACGCAATGCAATCAATATTTTTATAAATAAATAATTTATATTTAGAAAGTATGCAATGAATAGCCTTTTTAGTACAACAAACCAAACAATCAGTAATAAATAATACAGGTTGCATAACACATCCCAACATATTCAAACTAAACAACTCCAATAGTTCTCTCATTTCATTGAAAGACCTCAATTATACTAACTACCACTTAACCCTAACGAATCAACTTTTCACGATAAATTTCATTAACAGTTGAGAGATCAGATTAATGCCTGCAGAGTATTTTGTGCACCAAGTTATTACATTTTTTGTAGTTAAGACCGATCAGAAGAGAACGTTTTGGCGAGGTATTTTGACTGGGAATATCAAAAGCTTAAACAAATACCAAGTGCAAGAAGAGACGATCAGACACAGCATCACATCGACAACAAATGAAAGCAACTGTCTCAACACGCTAATTTTTAATATAGTCAGTCGGAACTAAGTTAAAAACCACTGTGCAAAAGTCTACATGTTTGATTGGCCAGTAACTAATGACAGCCGAGATACTGCAGCTCTCACAGATAAAACAACACATTACTAGGACAGACCTCCAAAGGTTCCAGTCTTTAATACAGCTCTAGTCCATAGCAGACTCCTATCAAACTAAGAACATAGAGTTTCAGATTCTCCTTTCAAGAGGAGGAGAATACCAAGAAACAAATTTCGCGGCAGCATTAGCCACTGTTTGATCGTGCCTGAAAAAAGAACATAATATGCAAACATTAGACAAGTTCAAAAATGAAGCATCCAAAATACTGATCAGGACCATTTGCAACAAGACTAACAAAAACAGAAGTGATCATCCAGAGGCAAATCAAACATTAATTAAATACAAAAAAAAGTAGCCTTAACCTGCTGTGGTGATGCCGATCTGGACCTTGACGGTGACCTAGATTTCGATCTAGATCTAGATCTCGACCTCGATCTCGACCTTGACATTGATCTGGACAATGACCTGGACCTGGATGCAGATTATGAGTTCAAGTGTTAAAAAAGCCTTGAAGATAAATTGAAAATAGAAAACAAAAGGCTATATTAGTACCTACCAAAAAAATACAAATTTCAAGTAATATGCAATGTCATATACCTGGTCGACTTTACAGGAGATGCAGATCTAGACTTTGGCGGTGGTGATCTTGAAATTGAACGGGCAGGTGATCTGAACAAACACCCAGTAGTAAAACATCAAGAGACAAAGGAATGTACATAAACGAGTTCATTTATTATCTGCAACTTGATCTACCTCCTACTCTTCCTTGGAGTCTTGCTCCTGCTCCTGCTCCTGCTCCTGCTCCTGCTTCTGCTGCGGCTACGACTTCTTGAAGGGCTGCCCTTGTATTCTCTTACCTATATATGAAGAGAACAGAAAATTGAAATGAGCATCAACGTAAAAATACATTGCAAGTACGAAAATTCCTACTACTACTAACTCGAGTACACACGCTCACTGAATAATTGTATCGTAAAAATTCTAGATATCTGATACTCTCTCTGTTTCAATTTGTTTAACTTAATTAGATTTGGCATGAAGTTTAAGGAAGTACAGAAGTCTTCTGAATCACGCGCCCTTAAACAAAATATATGTATGATGTCACAAAATGACCTTTAATCTGTGGCCTTCAACAAGCCAAGTTGGATGTTTAAATCAAAGAGTTAAAAATTAGAAAAGAGACATTCTTTTTAGAACCGACTAAAATGATAGTAAGACAGACAAGTTGAACTAGGAGAGTATTATAAACCATCAAATCAGGAAATCACCACCATACCCCATGAATATGCTGAGAGATTAAGCATCGACATAAAATTAAAGTCTTTCCGAGAATTCGGATTGAACGAAGAAACAAAAAAAATCTAGTGTAAATAAAAAAAATAAGCAATACCCGGATGTAGGTTCTTGTCCAAGGATTCCTGAACTCAGTATCATCAAGTTTTCTTATCTGAACAAAAAGAAAACATGTTAAACCACAAGCTTGGTCCTTCTCCAAAGGGATAAATGAAATAAAAAACAACCACCATCAAGGGAGTTGCAGATTAAACGTTCATGAATAATGGAACTAGCAAAACACAAGAATTACTTGCAGAGGATATTAATAAAAATAACGACAAATAACCATCCTTCCAATGGTTAATGAACCAAGGAACTCAAAAATTCAGTAAACTCCATCATGATATAGGGTCGAACTCCTCAATGAAAAGAAGATAGCAATATTGAGTTTAAAACCCATTAGATGATGAGGCAGATAAGAAACTTACAGCATATTTCATGTCTTCATAATTTGTGTAGTCCACCAAGCCAAAGGTTCCTGATATGGACAAGAAAATTTAGAATTACAGACATAATCACAGAGTTAGCACAAGAACAGAACTCCAGCTTTTCTCAAACGTTTGCTCAAGGCACAATAAAGACAAGCGAATTGAAGCATGGTCTCAACCTAACCGTCTCAGAGCTTTGCTAAGAAGCGCCAATGTGCTAAGATGTACACCTTATTACAGCCGTGCACTGTCCCAAAGAGGGAAAGACTACTAGAGTTGGCAAAGTGATATATTAATCATTAAAGAACCATTTTATGAATGAATAACATAGTAATTAGGAATAAGAAATCAAAATTTAACATTAAGAGAACTCCACACTAAATCTGAAGAAATTAGAGCTAATATGCATTTGAATTAGAAATTTACTATGGTCTTCAAATGGTGGAATTCTTACTCTGAGCAGTGATTTATATTTTCCAATTCTTCTATTCACATAATCAATTCTGGTCTCTCTGTAGCACTTTGTTTTCTTAAATTGCAAGTATAATTAGTTGTCCTCCATCCCTCCTTGATAAAAACACCACACTCTAGTTGCACTTAAATTCTTGGGAAATTTTCTGATCTTAACATACATGCAGTTTTTTCACCACGATTCCAGTATTCTAGAGTATTGTTTAAAATTCACAAGTAAAAGGATCCTATTAGATATGTCTTCAAGATGTAAGACTAGGTCATACCTTCACTGTCACGAGAAACCTCAGCAAAGCACACATCACCAGCTTTCCGCATATGATCCTGACATATTTTCCACCAGGTTACTGCAATTGCTACAGATACAAACCAAGATAGGGAGATATCCTGCCCACTTCACTTACCTTCAAATCTTGCCAAGAAGCAGAAGATGGAAGACCTCGAATAATAACTGTATATAGATGACAAGAAAAAGTCAAGAGACATCTATATGATCAGGGACAATTACATCTACAGCAATCAAGACAAAGAACTTCACAAGACATTCAAATAAGTTATAGTGGAACCTCGGTAATCAGAATGCCGAGAAATGCCATGGCGCCCTCCACCTCCACCGCCACCGCTGCCATAACTGCCTCTGCGATCACTTGAAGATGATGGCCCTCTTCCTCCATGAGCAAGCTCAACCTATATCATGCATCTAAAATGTCAACCACATGGAAGCTCATACGTCCTACATAGATCTGTGTATCTATGAATATGAGAGAATCAAGATGGAAATTGTTCTTACCCTCAGCCTACAGCCATCAAAGTTGTAGCCATCCCTACCCCTGATGGCATCTTCAGCATCTCGAGAACTTTCAAACTAAAGAATACGGAGAAGGGAAATTAGAGATAAATCAGCACACAGAAGCAGCAGTTGACAATAAGAAAGGCAAAAAAAAAAAAGCAACCAACAGCAGAAGGTCAAACTTCAAACTACAGAAAACTATATACATGTAAATATGCTAAATAAATATACCTCCACAAAACAGTAGCAAGGAGGGCGAGGTGGAATCTTCAACTCAATGTCCAATATACGACCATACTGCAATACAGGAGAGAATTTATAAACAGTAAGCACTTTTTAAGCTTAGGATACAGTGTTTCTTTTACAACAAACCTTAGGATACAGTGTTTCTTTTAAAAGGAATCTCAGTATATAGTGTCTGCAAGAATGTATGCTAAACCAACTCTACATTTCAAGGCTGAATGCTTCCAAATCGATGCCTCCCAACTGTTTACTCTCCTCAATCGGGTAAACAGAATACTAGTGGTATTGAGCACCACTGCCTAAAGCCTAGAGTAGCAAGTATGGAAGAAAGACCGAATCTAAAATAGGAAAAATAAGAGGCAAGGAGCATGCAGTGCAAGATACCAGAGAAGCCTCCCTCACCATCAAACTTTGTTTTCAACCACAACCTAATATTGATACTAGTACTGCAACAGATTCTCTTATGAAACTACACTTAGGCTTTCTTGTTCTAAAATTTCACATATAAGAGGCAAATCAAAAAAATCCATTATACAGATGGCATTGTAATGAAACTCAGGGAACAAGCATATCTAGGAATGCATTCATCTGCAATATAATCTCGGGTGAGGCTGTTTGTTTTTTTTTTATAATGATGCGAGGCTGTTGTTTTTTTGTTGTTTACAAGTATAACTTATGCATTGAAGGTTGAATCCAGAGCCCTAGGAGATAATTACGATTGATAATAACTAACTTCTCCACAAGAAAATAAGCCTTTGCAGCTAAGTGTTTAAATAAGTGAATGTGACAGACCTTGTAGAACAGATCTTCAACTTCCAGTTCCTTTATATCTGCTGGTAGGTTGCCAACGTAGATTGAGCGTGAAAAGCGGCCACTCATTCTCAGCAATGAAGGGAGGATTCACAGAAAACTGCAAACAGATGTAACTTATAAACAATTTTCATGATTCCACTAAACACTGAAGAGAAATAATTAAACAATTATGGATAAATTTATATCATTCTGTATTTGACTTGATGATAACAGAATCGAGCAGAAAAATTCTGAAGCAAACCAAGAGAGCAATCCTTCAATTGAGCTGTACTCCACAAGCTCCATTGCTCAAATGCTCCATGATGCTCCAAAATTATAGATTCAAACAGAAAAATTATGAAACCAAGAGAAATATCCCAAGTTAAGCTAATGCTCCACAAGCTCCATTGCTCATATGCTCCAAGATGCTCCACAAGCAAAAATTATTTGAACTAATATTTGATCTCCTCATCCACTCAAAATTTTTGCAGATGATAGCTCTTCTGAGAGTGAGGAAGAACCTCCAACTATACATAAAACCCAAATACTCCACCCTGACTTGTCCCACTCCCCCAAATACATCCCTATGTATGATTCCAAAGCTCATTTTTGTTCCAAGCGCTTGAAATCTATCATAAAGAAAGCATTTATGTCATAAGATGAGGTGAGATCGCGACATACTAATGCATTTTCCCTTTTCTTAATTATTTTAAAGATCACTGAGAAATTATCCTACAAGGCATGCAATATATACCTTTCCTGTTTAAGTTTAACATAAAACCAGTTTAGTGCAACTGATGTTATTTCCCTTAACCTAAGATTCGATAAGATCTCTAAGTCACCAATTCTCAAAAAGAAAAAGATTTTTAGGTTACCAATGGTCAGTAAAACATTGTTTGAACTATGAACTGTGGAGACTACAAAGATGCGAATTGGATATGAAGCAGCATATTTTCAGCAAAAAAGAATTTACTTTGGCAGATCATCGTCCAAATAGTTTTTCAATATATGGTTGGATTAAAAACAGGATCATATGGCGATCATTAAACGCGCTAGGATTGAATTTATAGATTCTGAATTTTACAAAAGGCATCCGCATCTTCTAAAAGGGTTCTAGATAAATTATTTATTTATTTTGAGAATGAAGAGAATGGAATCGGGATAAATTTATTTTCTTTTTGATGAACATGGTGTCCTGGCCAGCTTTCTCGCACCTCGACTAATTCCACGGATAACTGCCACCCCCACCAGCAACAAGTAACAGGTACCGGTAACTCTGTCCACCAAGGCTAGATAAATAATGCATACATATTAAAAGAAAATTTGAATATAAAGTACATGATGTGGGCGAAACCTACCAAACCCGTCAACTGTAATGTGGCTCCACCCCGGCAATCATAAAAGATGGAGGATGGTATTTTGCTGAGATATTTGTATATTAAAGTTGACAACGAACCTTATGTGTTGGATGAATCAAGTGATACAGAGTGAGATTCAGAATATTCGTAATGGAAAATGACGTAAGTTGTTTTCACCCTTTTGGTGGTGAATTTTCAACCATTGAGGAAATAAACATTGGAGAACGATTCAATGAGTAAAAAAACTATTCCATAAAATATTCTCTGCCATACCAAGAATACCGAATTTTCTTATTACAGGATTAGAAATTCATCTTTTTATTCCACTATTGCTAGTATTTTCTTCCAGATATGATGGTTGCAGCTCTCTGAAGGGAAAAACGCTATTGAAGTAAGAATTTCACTGATAAAAAAAAAACTATCACACTGTTATGTAACACAAGAAACATCACAAATATGACCCATAAAAGTTCGATCTTTTCTAGCAAAAGCCAACGAACAATGAGAAGCAACACCCAGGCTAAAACAAACCCTGGGATTACGAAATGAACCCATTTCTGCCACAAACAGAAAACGATCAATTCGCAACACAGAACATCCAGAAAATACAGAAATAGCTAAATTCGGTAAGATTTTTACAGATGCGTAACTAGGGTTTCTTCCACCCTCGACCCTTCTTAGAAATTAACAAATGTGCCCTTATCTTAGAACAGAGCTGTGAGAAAAAAATCTTCTAAATATTACCTGGAATTTCAATTAGGGCTCGGCGAAATTCAGATGAAATTGATGTTCAACTTCTTCTCCGGTTCTTGTCGGGTTCTCTCTCCTGGTGCTGTGCTGCACTTCTTCCAGAGAGTTCTTAATTTTAGGGCTTTTTTCTGGTTATAAAACCCAACAGAGTAGGATCTGTTCCCTTGATTTTTATTTTAGCTCTTTTTAACCCTTCAGCTTTGATTTATTTACACAAGTTCCCATTTGGAATCTCAGTTTTCTCGGATGTGCAAAAATCAAATCGAACGATAAATTAAAATTAAAAAATATATTATTGATTGGTTATTATTGTGTTATTTATTAGATTGACAGTTTTCTAATGGTATAATAAAAAAAAATATTGATTTATCGGATTAATTTTGATTTTTGAATATTGGATTATTTGATAAATTAATAACTCATAAGACTACAGTAATTTAAATATTAATATCAATGCATCACTAGTTAGTACTCTCTCGGTCAATATTTAGTTGTCCAGTTTAAAAATGACACACATATTAAGAAAATAATTAATGACGTAATGAATTTATCATTTTACCCCTATTAATTATGAAGTGGATAAAAAAAAATTACACTTTTCAAATTAATTAGTCATTTCATTGAGGTATAGATAAAAAAAAATGTTCATTCTTGATTTGTCAAACTGGATAAGTAATTAGGAATAGCTATAAAATAAAACGTGGACAAATAATTAGGACAAGGGAATAGTTACTATCTTTGTCATTTTGCATTCAATTTACTCTTGAGAGTGATATTGAATGGACAACTTCACATTATACAAAACGTCAAAATCTAAAGTAAATTTCTTTCCTCTTAACTTCTCTTTGCATTACACTTGTATAATCTTTTCATGTTAGTTGTTATTGTTTATATTTTATGAGCATTTAACAAGTTACATTATTGTTAAAGAAGTCATATTTGTTTTACAAGCATTTTTTATTGGTTAAATCGAATACTCAGCCGTTAAGGATCAAAACTGATAAATCATAAATTGAAGTTGGTTTTAGCATATCTAAAATCGATAAAATCAAATTGATAATACATAAAATTGAATTGAATCGACCAATACACACGTTGTTTGATAGGATGTATTATAAAAATAATGCATGAATTAGCTTTGTGTATATTAAATATCTTGTTTGGGTATAATTTTCACTTTTTGTGTACTTTATTTAGTAATATGTTATGCATAATTAATAATTTCTCCCTTCAACCTTGTCCAGTGTACTAAAAATAGATGTCGCGATACTTGTCCACTTTATATAATCCTTGAATCATTTTACATATAGTTTTTAAGTTATCCTTATCATCAATTGTAATTATTTTCCTATAACATTTTTTCAAGACATTGTTATATTCAAAGGGTGGTATAGTAAAATTGTCTTTCTATTTATAGTTTCTTTATAGGTGTGCCAAGTCAATAGTACACAACTATCGTTGGACAGACAGAGTACATAATGAATTGTGTCAGTTACGCAAGAATTTATGATGAATGTACTAGCATGGTTAAATATATAATTGTCTCTCAAAATTTTTTACACATTCTTTTCATTGTATTATTGACGGTATTTGTGTAACCAAATAATTACTTTTAGAAATCATGCGATTCATATTATTTTTAGTACATCAAAATAAACAATATATTAGTAAATGGTCTTAGTCATAACTAATATCAACGTTAGTAATATATGTTACCACTACTAATGCACTTTATTCAACTTTATTCTTATATACACTACCCAATAATCCATTTATTTTATTATGTCTTGCACAACTATGTGACAAATCATGGGATTAACGATTGAATAAAAAATATATATACAAACATTCTTATCATACTTACTATTTTTTTTCTAAAGTTTAAAATAATTATATAGGATCACAACAATTAATACTTTTATATCAAAGTATAAATAACATTCACTATAAAATACGGATACATGAAAAGAGTGACGAGTAAGAAGGGCGAGCGAGAGAGGAGAGAGTCAAGCGAGATAGAAAAGGAAGAATGAGAGAATTAATGTATCCTAGCTATATGTACATCTAGTTGGATAGAATGTATCTAAAACAAATTACATAAAAAATTGATCTCATAATCCGAAATACGTATATTTAAATGCGCCAAATTACATGATTTGAATATTGAAATTTAGCACAAATAACAATTTTAAAAACTCACGAAAATACACATAATTAGGTCTTAAACTAATAAAATTTATGATTTTTGCCCTTTAACTGTACGTGAATTTTCAATTGATGCATAAATATGATTAAACACACAATTGTCTTTTAAAAACACTTTTTCCACATATATTCACTATATTTGCGAATTAACTTAAGTAAGTATGTTTTTTAAAAACACAACTAGATTGAATAATTATGTATAAGAATGATTTCAACGTAATTAATAATAGCACAATTAAAACCATCATTACTAATACAAGCTAAACACCTCAGAAGCAAATTAGTGTACTATTAAACACTTACTAACCAAAATCTTCTACACACATCTCTACTCAGAATCGATTAAACAAAAACAAAAAAAAACAATAATAATTAGATCATCTTGCTAACCAAACTTAGTTAAATTATTAGTTTACTACTCAATGCTCACTATACTAATCAAACTTAGCCCAATTATCAGTTCATTATTCATGTAGTCTTATTTGTTTTTTTTTAGGAAAAATTAGTAAACTAGTCAAAATAAATAACATATTTAGTAAAAATATCCATACTTTATAAAATATTAGCAATAATGTCAAAAATGTCATTATTTTAAAAAATTTATGTGTCCCAATTTTCTTCCTATTTTATCTCTCTTTTTCAATTAATTCTATATATCTTTTTTTAAAAAAAAAATTATTCTCTCTCATATTTATCTTTTCAAAATTGTTAATTCTCTCTCCCATTTAATTTTTTTCTCTCTCTCATAGTTATCTTTTCTGATTTTCCTCCAACATTCAAGTTGCAAATATTTTTTTGCCATATATTTTGGTTGTTTTTTTAATCCAAAATTGAATCAACAAGAATCCCTTTGATTAAGGTATCTCTAATCTTTATCCTATTTTCAAATTTCTTTTCTAATTTTATTTTTGTTTAAATATTAAAAAAATGTTGTTTGTATTTTTCAATTTCCGTTATGATTTATCTCCAATGGCTGAATCCAAAAGGCTTACTAGAGGTATTCATCTTAATCAACCAATTTCTGGTGATTTTTCATCCTTTAATTTATTTATTACTTAACAAATAGTGTATAATGTATGATCCACTGCTAAAATAAGGAAAGAAAGAGGATAAGAACATTTACAAGATTCATTGGTGTGCAAAACCTTCTTCAAATTTAGAACGCAAATGTAGAATCTTTCGCGAACAATTTTCTATTAGTTTGTTTTGTATTTATTGTTCTTTTTTAGAATTTGGTATGCTTTCTTAATTTGTATTCAAATCACTATGTATACTATCAATATTTGTATTTATTAAAAATTTCATGTTGCATGGTTTATGAATCTTGTATTTGTCCCTAATTTGTATTCATCCAAATGTATGTCAACTAGTTATGTAA